CTATGTGTTTTCCTTTCTCTAGGTCAACTTCCGATGAAAGGGTCTATCAAGCTTTAAATAATGGTAAAACTAGAGATGTTGCTTTGAACATCTCGAAGTGTCTCCAGACGAATTTTTGAACTGATTCAATCTTATCAAATCGCGAAATGAAAATTTCTTGAATGACTGCTCGTCTAGATCTATTTGCATTAATTCTGGTGTCCCCCAGGGATCTGCCCTTGGAGATACGTTGTTCGTAATTTTCATAAATCTCATGTCATCAGTTCTCAATTCGGTATCCATGTTGTTGACACAACCATTTACTCCTGTCTCAAAAGTAAGTCTGATCTGTTCGATATGGTCAAATTGACAGCTGTTCTAAAAAAATGACCTACAATCTGTTGTTAACCGGGGCAAGAAATGGCTTGCTAATTTTAACGCCTCCAAAACGAAATTGCCCTCTATTAAACGTCTGAGAAAACCATTTTTGTCTCCATTCTGCATGGTTGATGCTAATCACCAGTAGAGTGCCTCATTGCGGCTTCTGAGACTAACGTTTTCCGTTGTCATGAAGTGGAAAGATTATATTGAATTAATTGCTAGGTTTGCTGCTAGGAAAGTTGGTTCACTATGTCATGTTAGACAAGTTTTCTCACCAGAATCTGTCTTACATATCTGTAAGTCTTTCCATTCGTCCTTGCTTTGAATATTGCTGCCACATCTGCTTCTCTTGCTAATAGATTTAAAGAGTTTTGATAAAAATCCAAAGAAAAATCTGACTTGTCATCTTTCTCCCCGCCGTAATGTAGTTTCCCTGTGTCTTTTCTAGAAATACTTTCATGGTAACTGTTCTGATGAACTTTCCTCTGGACTTTATGAATTTAAGCTCGGCTGGCGACATGGTTTCATCATTTTATAGTTTAATTGGCTAGATGTAACCATAAGTTCCATGCTCACAGTTTATCCTCTCGCAATTCTCGTTTGTGGAACTTTCATCCGGCTTCTTGCTTCCCGGTCAACTTTGACCTTTAAAAATTTAAATACAATATCAATTTTTATCTTCTGTCTTCTTAATTTCTGTTCTGTTATTTTTCTCTCTCCTTATTGTTTTTTTCGCTCACATTCACTAACCTCCTTGCTTCTTAGTGGCGTTATTGCTTCGCTTGGGATGAAATGATAAAAAATGCTGTAAAGAAAAGTAATTAAAAATGTAAAATTCATATGGAAAAAAAGCAAGAAAAATAAACAAGTAAAATAAATTAAAAAAGAAAAATTTTTCAACGTGAAGAAAATCATAAAAGTAGGATTACTACTACTACTACTACTAATAATAATAATTTACCATTCATTCATTACGTAATCAATAACTGTCGAAATGTAATGGAATGTACTGAGTTTTCACCGTAGGCTCGATAATGTTTTCAACCAATTTCTACCAGTCACCAGATTCGCGGGTATTTTTTAAAATAAACTTGGAGAATGTTATATGTAAAAACTTACTTAGAGTATCGGTATTGCAACTTTTAATGGTATACACTACAGAGTATGGCAAACAAATCAAAAGAAAATAAGACATCACAAAAAGCAATACCAAGGATTACAGATAGATAGATAGATAGATAGATAGATAGATAGATAGATAGATATCACAGAACGGTGGCGTAGATTAAGCAGCTAAGGTATAAAAACCTCAAACGCTCAATTTTTGGTCCTTGCGCATCTTCCAGTAAGAAGAAATAATCATTTCAAATAAATACGATTTCTATTTTTAACCAGTCAAATATTTCCTACTTCTTTTTGGTAGCCGATGTCATCAGTTTTGGGTCCATACAAACACATTTTTTATTCTAATGACCATTTGTTATTAAAATTTCCCGCTGCTGCATGAACCTACGCCGACTTGAATCTCATTCCATAAAACCGGACACACCAGCCATTACAGTAGGTTATTTGGACATTTGTTTATTTATTGCTCCGTTCAGTATAAAAAACTGAATTTGAAATCCACTGAACATGTCAAAATTGTACTAAAGTTAAAAAGAAAATTTCAAAAAATGTATAGAAATACATTAAACCAATTTTTGCCGAATGCAACAAACTCATCCTGATAACTTTCCACCCGATTGCATTTAAGAGGTTGACAACCGTTCATTTGCTAATAGCACTCTACAGCATCTTATAAATTTTATACATGTACTCTTAAGACTTAAGTGCATGTTTAAAAATTAGATTGCAGACAAAAATACCCAATATAAATGTTGTTAATTAACTGAACATTTAGCGTTTTTCAATAGGTAGCGTTTAAACGCGAGATTTCGTTTAAAAATCTGACTGAAAGGTGACATTTCAATGCATTTTTCTATACGATTTGTACGTGAATTGTAAATTTTAAATGTTTTTAAGTTAAAAATGAAAACGGAGGAAATATACGATGTATTTTCGTCAATTGATGCCTTTTTATTTCCTGAAAGGAAAAACACTGTACATAAAGCAAAAAAGGTATGTATCGTTTATGGAAATCTGAGAGTGATTCGCTAAGTTCAGAAGTAGAAAATTTTATCTGCAATGCCGAATAATTTCCGGCAGGTGTGCATTCATTGATAATCACCAAATCGAGAGGCTGATTAAAAATAATCCAGGTCACACGGAACATCATCATATGAGCATTGCAAGGCATTTAAAAAAACACTTGGATATATGAATCGCTACAATGTTTGAGTACCTCACGATTTGACGGGAAAGCAATTCAATACCCGCATTTCTTTCTGCGATTTTCTGTGCAAACGCAACAAAAACGGACCATTTTTTTAAATACAAAATATCACAGGCAAAAAAAAAAAAAAAAATGGCTTTTTTTCACAACAATGTGGAAAGTAAAACGTCTTTTGGAAAACGAAATGAGGCACTGTTAACTGGTATAGACTTGTGGAAGGTGATGCTATGTATCTGGTGGGATTGGAAGGACGTTGTGTATTATGAGCTCGTTCGCAAAATGAGATTCCAACAAGTACCAGTGACAAGTGGATTGATTAAAGACAGCAGTCGGTAAAAAGGATGTCATCTTCCATCAGGACAACGCTAGACCTCACATCCTTTTGCAATCCTGACATATTGATTAAGTTTGGCTGCGGTATCCGGCTACATACGTTATACTTACCTTACTTTGCACCTTCGGATTAACAATTATTTCGATCCCTACAAAATTTTCTTAATGGAAAGTACTTCAATTCTCTGAAAGTCTGTAAACGCCACTTAGACAAGTTCAACAGACAAAAAGAAGTCAAGTTCTGAGAGAATGAAATTTCAAAGATGGCAAAAGGTAGTGGAACAAAATAGCACATATGTAATTGAATAAATCTATCTATAAATATGTAAATATTGTCTTTCACATTCACTTGCTACAAACTTTTGTTCCGACCCAATACTTTGAAAGAAAATTTTCAACTTTTGTTTAAAAGAAATTGAATTTTATTCGAAGACATCTTTGAAGACAAACTATTATCCCTTAATAGGAATGATTACAGTACTTTAATCTGCCTAAAGGTTTAAAGAATGTCATTAGACACAACTTGATTCAAATTTCCGACATTAAAATTATGAATTCGACAATCATTTAATCCCGCGCAACGCTCACTAAATATAAAGTCACTAAAGGCCTTCATAATGTTTGAATAATTTTGTAGATAAAATGAATGAAAGTTTGTATTTTTATTATTTATTTATATAACGTGAAGAGGATTTAAATTTAAATATTTTTAGAATTCTAAAATTAACAACAGAGATTATTAGATTAGATTAAGTCCGATTAATAATGGTAACTCTGATTCATTTTTTATGTTTAAATACATATTCAATTATTTAGTAATTCTATATCAACACATGATATTTAGGCCCAAAGCAACAACTGCCCACTTGAATGCCACCCCCTATTCAATAGTAATAGTTCTACAGCAAAGTTTATAAATATAGAAAAGAAAACAATTATGTGATATATTACCAGGAATTTTTTGTAATAAATTAATTTAGTTGTCATTTTTACAATAAAATTTGTGAAAACCTGTTGTTGGAAGTAAAGTAAATTATTGTATGGTAATCTAGAAAATATATATTATCACAGATTGAAAAGAAAATCGGTTGCTATCCTCAAATTATAGTCATTGTTATTAGTTAAAGATATGATTTACTACAACAACAACAAACTAGTATAACGTAAAATATGATTTTTTTTTAAAAATAAATCGACCAAACCAATCAAAGCTGTTAACCCTTGTTTGTTGTAAAATAGCATCATCTCAATATCTTTTCTTTATTCTGTTTGAGACGAGCGGTAATTTTTATCAAAAACTGATTAAAAGTCGGAAAAACGCATTTTTTTTTTTTATTGCTGGAGAAATATTTATACCGAAAAAGATATGGGTAACAAGAGAAAATTGGACGATGTGGAATGTCCCAATAATCAGGTACTAACGTCAAAGTTAATTTTAAACGATAATAATTTATAACAAATATTGTTTCATATTTACTGCTTTCTTATGCATTTAAATTTTTATTCGATAATATATAACTGGGTATTTTAAGTCCGTTACTTTTTCTCCTTTGTGGACATAATAAATATATAACGAATTAAATTTCTATAGAAACTTCCCGTTATTTTCTTTTGGACATATTTAAGATAATTTATTTTTGAGCGTTTCCATACTGGAATCTTTGAATGTCTTTCTGTATTAGTAATGTAATTTTTTAATGAATTTAAAAGTTGTTTGGATTTGTCATTAAAATATTTTAATGAATTGTTTATTTTTGGTTGAAGCCAGTTCTGAGTTAAATCGGAGTATTCGAGCCAGAAGAATTAAACGCTCACATTAGAAGGGTTTTAATGTTCGATTTTCAATTTTTTTTTTTTTTTTTTTTTGATGTCCTTTTCTTCTCCAATAAATCTGATAACTTTGTTTTGGTATGCTTGTAAATTCAGACTATATGTTCATGCATCGACACCTGACAAGTTATACTTTCGTTTTCAGTCCAACACCTCAAACAAGCAGACATCTTCAGATTATTTATCACTATGTGTGAAGCGTCGTCATGTAAACCATGATCATGGCTATACAATGTATGTAAATCCTACGCCGGATGTAATCAACACTTCAAACTTTGGAAGTGGCATACTTCCAGTTATGACATTGCACATGTGCAGTCAAAATCACCGACCTCAAGAAAGCCGTAACTTTAGTGATGTTTACGGATTTGAGGAATACAGAGATGACATTTTCCGTTATAAATTGAAGACAGAAGAAATGCACCTACCGTTTCAATGCCTTAAAAATCAGCCACAGGTAATGAATGTAAAAGACAAATTTTAAACTTTTTTTTTTTTAACTCAAATCGTAAATGCTGCTTCTGTTAGGAAATCTCTAATATTAACAAGTTTTTTTTCTAATTGTATTCTACCAAACTGATGGTAGTAGTTTGGTAGTAACACCTTTTTTTTTCTTGTCCTGACAAGAATCAACTTTTAATCTAGTGTCCAGTTTAAAAGGTTTATTTTGTAAAAACCAAACTGCTTTAAACCTGAAGACGTGAATTTTTCAAATACACAAATAAAAACTACGAAGAACTTAAAATAGATTTCGAGCGAAATATGGTCGAAACTATCAGTTTGGGCAACAAATCTTCGGCTATAAATAAAATTTATTAGCATTCGTGTTAAATTTTTTTTATAGATTGCATTTTCCATTTATTCAGATACATGAATTGCTTCGCGCAATTCTTATAAGATGGCTGACAGAAATCCACCACAGAATGAATCTCTGCCAAGAAACTTTATTTCTAACTGTTAATATCCTTGATCGTTTTCTCGCACGAATGGTGATTATTCCAGAAAGTCTGCAGATGATTGGATTAACCTCATTGCTCATTGCTTCCAAATATGTAAGTAAAAAAACTTTATATCCATGAAATCGAATTCATATTAGAGCAATTAAAGTTTCTTTTTGTATAATTTAAATTTTATTAATATCTTTACTATCGATATCTCATAGTTTTAAAATATCAATGTTTGCATTTTTAAGGAAGAAATGTCGCCGCCAGACATGAATGAGCTACTTACGTGCGTTGATATGAGAAAAATCCATCGTAGTATGATGAAGAGATTAGAGTGCATCATCTTAAAGGCACTGTCTTTCAGTCTAAGCCATCCATCTGCCTTGTATTTCATAGAATATTATGCTGCAATTTGTATGGAAATGTCCGATAGTGTTCACATTGGAAAACTTAAGTAAGCAACACTTTTTTCTACCTAATTAAAATGTTAAATGACAAATAAGTTCATATTTTTTCCATTTCATTTTAAATAATGAATCTTCTAATCTACTTATCTCATATTGTTATAATCAGTGCATAATTCATTTTTAAATTAACTCTCGCGTAAGTTTATTAATTTTTTTAAAAATGAATTCGAAATTCACAAAACCGCAATATACTTCCATTTTATAGGTTTTCAAAAACTTTACCATTAATGAAAGATTACTAAGGAAGTTTTCAGACCTCTTAATTTCTGATAGCACGGAAAATTGTTAGCCATTAACTTTCAAATTCTTTCTAATTATTTGAACAGTCATTCATAATTATCTTACATGGAGGATTCTTTCTGCGAGTCGAAGGTTTTTCTACTTCTTACTATAAGAATGAATTTATGAATTTTATTTTTACTATAACATCCGCTTTTAACACTCTAAAAGTTCTTTCAAATCTATTCGAGATTGAAAAAGTCACGATTCTTTTTTTTTTCTTCAAACCCTGAAATAGTCTCGTCTTAAACATGCAATACTTGACTAATATATGCAAGTCTAACTAAAAACAGAATTTTACAAATTAAAATAGAAACTACTACAAGATAAGGGGGAAATTAAACTTTGAGTTCTATTTTTTTTCCCAAATGTCATTCTCTGTATTTTCAGTAATACGGAACTTTTATCGTGCTGTTACAATTAACACAATCTATCAATTTAAATATTGGTTTAAATTACTCTGGCTTATGTATATACTTACGCGACATTCGGCAAAGACTTCTCGTAATTTGTTTGATAATTTTATCTTAAATATTACGTAGGCGGTGGTGCAATATTGGTTAGTACTTCTATTATATAATATAATTTTGTTTTGTTTTTCCAGAGATTTTATGTAACTCAAAAACATAAATCATTTGAATATTCCGTTTATAACTCGTGTTTTGCCTGAACGAAGTAGCTATTACAAAAGCAACTACTGTAATACAAATTATATCAATCCTAAGACTTTTTTAGTCATTTTTAAGACTTAAGTTGATGGCTTTTGTTTTGTCGTTAATATCAATTAATGGCAAGGTTTTCATATGTTGCGTTAAACTTTTCATGGTCTTTTGTTTCAGGAAGTCTGTCGCATTATCTCGTCTGATACTGGAAGTCTCCCTTCAAGACTATCATCTTTGCCAGTTCAAGCCATCTTTATTAAGCCTTTGTACTTGGCTATTAAGTATATCCGAGAACGGTTATCGAGAAACGCACAATTTCTTTATTCCTAAAGAACACTGCGAGAAAGTTGTTTTTGACAATTGTTTTAGCAAAGTACAACAACATATGTCAAATCTACGCTGTCAGTACCCTAATATTGACAGTCTGTGCAACAGTTATAACTAGATTTAAAAACTTTTCACTTATGCTGAAAAACTGAAAAACCCTTTCTTCTTTTTAGCTGAAGACCTTTCAGATTTGTTAAATCTGATATTTCGTATTTTTGATGAGCAATTAAATCTTAGTTTCAATTCATATTGAATCAGTAAACTCATTTTTTTAAATGAATTAAACTGAAAAAAAAAGCCTACTGGGAAGGGGACACTTAAAGAATAAAAATTTTTATACAGTTATGTCAGTGTCTTTTTTGCGTGTGTGTATATATATATATATATATATATATATATATATATATATATATATATATGATCTCTATCATGTTGTTCAGTGAATAATAATAAAAAAGTAAAATGATTATAATTACGTGGGTGCTACTTATTTTATTTTTTGGAGGAAGAAAATTTACTTCATTTGGTTTAATTTCTTACGAAGGACTGTAATTTGATATAATGCAGCCCTGAACAACAGTCACCGTTGTATGTGATCCAATGACTTGGAGATGCTTTCAATAGTTTGAGACTAGTTTTAATATTAGTTTTGGAAATACCTATTTGTCCTTTGGTAATAGTTTTTTATTTTTAGCCTTCTTACTTCAGCTGTCTCAGATGTCGGTAAACCCAAGGGGATTTTCATCAGATTGGGTAAAAAAAACAAAACACTTTGTAAAGTTAAGTAAGCGTTAACTCTTCATCGAATCCTTTATTTTGGAAATTTTAATTACAACATATTTTTTTAATTACAAGCATCAGCCATTGTTTAAATTTTGGATGAGATTGAAAAATTGAAACTGCTACTTCCCGCAGAAGTAATTTATGACTAACAGTATTTTTAGTTAAAACTATAATTAAGGCTTCAAAGATACATAAATTAAGATGTGCTGCAAACAACGCCCAGATTCGCAACAATGCGGGGAACAAAAGATCTCCCTAGATGGTAACCCACGACCTCGCGTTAAATTAAAGGCGTCTTCCACCAACCAATACACAAATGAAACCAATTAAAATGAACCAAACTAGCAAACCCAACCTAAAAAAGTAGACCCCACCCCACGTATACCATCTACAGTACATCAATCTTCACATCAATTTTCCAGAATTGGAACTTCTCCAGTCCAAAACAAACCTCCTGTCATATGAAGCCGGTATCGATGCATCAGACACACTAGAGGAACCTACAGTCCCGGGTTACGCACCTCTTGTAGCAAAGCACGACCACCTAAATCGCCACGGACTCTGGGCCTACATCAAAGACGAGTTACTCTATGGCAGGGACGTAAAAAACGGAGAACCTGATCTACTGTATATGTAATTCCGCGTGACACTTATACATCGTACCACATTCGACTTTGCTTTCTATCGCCCCCAGGACGAAGGAACGGTAATCTTTGATCGAATATCTGAGAAGATTGATAGTATCCTTGCTCAATTTTCCTCTGCTACCGTTCATATCTGCGGTAACTTCAATATTGACCATAAAGAATAGTTAGTCCACTCCAACAAAACCGATGAAGACAAATATTGCAGCGACCTCAATCGCCTATGAACTCAGATCATCGAAGTACCTACCCATGTCCCGGACACAACGAGACATCAAGCGAATATCCTCGACCTCTTTCTAACCTCCTGTCCTGATAAATGCTTATCAAAAGTTTAGCCCCCTCCTAGGCACGTCAGTCCATTCCCGAATCAGGAATCCCCTGATGTTTGAATTTTCACTATGCGAAGGCAGGCTGGGACAGCTTTAGATCCTACATGATGGAAGCTCCTCTCCCAACATTCAAGCATGCTACCTCCAAAACTGTTGCCCTTGTCACTGAATGGATCCTTTCCGAAATGGAATTTTATACCCACCCAAAAAATCCAGCAAAAAACCAATCAGTCTTGGTTCACCTCTGAATGCGCTGCAGCCGTAACTACTTCAATATCTATCGCAAAGAGCGATGTAGTTTGACCCTTACTGCATTCAGAACCGCCCGCAAACCCTGCAAAAAAGTTTCAGAAAATGCAAAATGCTAGCAAAGGCACAAGAAGTCCAAACCAAGATTGAAAAGAAACAAATTAAATCCTGTGAATTCTGGAAGATCATCCGCAAAATTGTGAACAGAAGTAAAGCTGTTGTGCCCATAATTATAAATAGCCCCGAGGTTATAACTTCCTCGGCAGACAACGTGAGACAAAGACCATCTCTTCCCACTGCTCTGGGGAATAGACTCCCAAGAGGATGTTTCCCCAATGAATTGCAATCTTAACCTGTTCATGGCTAAGGTTAACCGTATCTTCTACTCATATTCGCACAAATTGTCTCCTAACGTAACCCTCTACCCCCGGGCCTTGTAAAGGGTGAAGCTTACTGTAAGCTGTACTGGAAGTACCGTTTGTCATTTGTTTTTTCATTATTATCATTACTAAAAACGGTAAACGTATTTTGACACCTATTTTCATTTACTCGTATCTGTTAAGAAGCTCCTTCAGGCAGAGAGCCGTTTTAAAATAACAATCCAACAAGTGCAGGCTTCTTTAATTCGGTTTTCCACAACAGTGACTTCAACGTCAATTTAAACTTTGTCGATAGCAAATTTTGTTTTCGTGTTTTTTTTAGCCCCCCCCCTCCCCACAATCAAGAACACTCAACTTCTGTATTGCTCGATTTCTGGCTAAATTTATGAATACTTGAAATTTCTATTCAACAAAATTTCAAATAATTCAATATAGCACTAACTTTAGTTCACCACCATCAAATACGTTTAAGAGAAAGTGTGATTTCCTCTATCCTGCTGATGAAATAATTTAAAATCTTTCTGGCAGGTGGTGAAAAATGGGGTGGTAATTGACATGTGGGCGTTTATGCGTCACACTATAGTGCGCTTGATGAGGGACGGGTGAAAATCTACTTTGGTTCGTTTGTTTCCTCGAGTATCCATACAAAGTAAATTTTATCAATAAAACGGGCGTTGTGCATTAACATTAACCAACCTGATAATTTTTCAAGTAGTTGATAGACTCTGACATAAATTCTTAGATCAGCTGTTTTGTCTCCGATTTTTGAACGTAACTTTCATCAATTGTTAGCAGATGTAAATCCAAATGCGTGGACGCTTAAAATACTTTTGTCATGACAATCGATAGTGCCCACTGTATCTAGGTCTGACAGAATTCACTTTTTCCTAATATACACTGTACTTATAGCACAAGATCTTATAAGAAAATGAATTCGTGTAAGTGTAGTCATTACGTGCAAGATTTTAATTTGAATGTCTGCACAATTTTATCAGCAAATTTCATCATTTTTTTTTCTTTAGTGGAGAAAGACAATCTACGAAAAAGATTCGATTTAAAGAGAATTTGCGATGGCTTTTTTTTTTTTTTTTTTCAGGTTTATTAATCTTCCTTTTGGATCAGTCAATTGTCATACATACGCTTTCGATTCATGACTGTCTAGAACAAACGATTGATATTATACAATACCATTACTAGATCGGATATTTTGCTGCTTTTAGTTTTTCTTAACGTTTGTAAAATACATGGGCGCGATGCTTAGCTAAATCGATTCTCGGAACAATTCGCTTGTGTAGTTCGAGTCTCACTGATTAACTCATTACATTGACCTTGTGTCAGACTAAGCTTCATAAATGTTTTTTTCCACTATCGCATTACTTTAAAACACGCCCAATGTGATACAAAGCAATGGCATAATGTCAACATCTTAAAACTAGACTTTTCAACTGAATTCTATTAGTAATAAGATTGTTTATTTCTTCCAACTGTCACTGGAAGTGCTAACCTGGCGACAACACTTGAAAAAAGCCAGGCTGCTTGAAGTTCGTGACATTCCCAATTTACTCTTTCTATATTTCACGTCACAAAACAAATCAAGCTGAATAAAAATGAACCACTTTCAAAGTTCAACTTGCTAAAATTACTTTTATAAGTTCCCATGAATTTTAAACAAAAGTATCAACAACCAGGATTTAGTGTTAAGAACAAAGAGCGTTTTTATCTTTTTTTTTTTTTTTTTTTTTTAAAGTTGTTTGCTAGAGGGGAAATATTTCAATGTGAATGCGCCCTAATAAGTTTAACTCGTCTTCTGTCTGAATTTCTGGGGCGAGGACTTTAATATTATTTACAGTGAAGTTTACAATAATTGAACCGTACTAAAGAGAAAAGGTGACGTCTGCATTCTGAGATTCACGTATTCCTTGAAATCAAATATTTACTTCAATAGATTCTCGTATATTAATTGTAGGTACCTCTATGAGATCGCTAAAAAGAGCATCATGATGAAAAAGACGCCAAACTTGACGAAAACTACATTTTATCGTCTAAATGCTTATTTTATTATTAAAAGTTTTTTAATTATTTAAAAAATTTTTCCTTTTTAGAACATTCTAAATCTTAATTTTTTTTTTTAAATTGTTTCTCTTAGTATAACATACAATTTTTAGCACTTTTTTTTTGTATGACGCACATGAATCTGGAAAATCTTGCAAAAATAAAAATAATTGTCGGATTTTAATGAAACTTTCAGAAACTATGATCGAAATTGTTTTTTTTTTATTAAAGTCATGGCAGAAATATTTTTAAAATATTTATTACAGCCCCCCCCCCATAACTAATTTTATGAAAACGCTAGAAATTCGATCGAATCCACTTTAGTGAAAAGCACAAGGCTTTGAGGAATGCAAATCCTGTTTTTTGTTTGTTTTTTTTTAATTGATCCCCCCCCCACCTGAAAATCAGCTCTGAATTGTAACATACAAAATTTAATAAAACAGATATTATTTAATTTTAAATGGTTTTATTTGCTTTTAGTTGTTTTTATGAATATGGACAATATTTTCTGAAAGTAAAGTTTTTTTTCGATGAAAAATGAATTTTTAATACAATTGCTATTTCTTTAATTATAATAGATTTTTACATAAGTTATTAAAATATTATAAAATTAGTTAAAATCCGCTTTCGTAAGTGTCCTTATGAGATAGATCTTTTTTTTTTTTTTTGCGCGTTGTA